CATTTTCTTTGGAGCAAATATAAATTATATTATGTTTAATTTCAGTTTCCACATATTTGTCATGAGTATATAGAAACACTGTTGATTTTTGTGTGTTGATCTTGCATCCTGTGGCCTAAGGTCCAATGTTAGTTCTAGGAGATTTTGTAGATTCATTAGGATTTTCAATATAGGCTACCATGCCATCTTCAAATAGGGACAATTTTATTTCTCCAAAATTATGCTTTTTATACTTTTTTTTTTGATCCTTATTGTGCTGACTGGAATTCCAGTACTATGTTGAGTAAGAGGGATGAGAACAAACATCCTTGCTCTGTTTCTAATTTTAGGGTGAAAGCATTCAGTTACACCATTAGATATGATGTTCATGTGTAAATCTTTTTGTAGATGCTTTTTGTCAATTTAAGGAACCTTCCCTCTATTCCAAGATTGCTAAGAGGTTGTTTTGTTTGTTCTTAATCATTAGATAGTTTTCTTGCATCAATTTATATGATCATATGAATTTTCTGTATCTGGTCAGTGTTGTGATTCTTTTATTTCTCGACTGACTTTTTTGGGGGAGGGGAGATCAAATTATGTTAGATTGTTACAGTTTCCTACAGAGATGAGAAATTGCCTATTTTTCCTGTTACATTTTTGCCGTATATATTATGAGGCTCTTTTACTATGCATATATACATTAATGTTGCTATGTCTTTAAGGCAGAGCTACCTTTTTATTTTTATGAAATGACCTCTTTGGTAATAATGTCTATCTTTAAGTCTATGTTATTTGGCATAAAGATAGTCACATCAGCCTTCCTATATTTGCCTGGTATGTCTTTTTCCATCCTCTTACTTTTACCCTTTCATTTTCCTTATAATTAAAAGGTACCTTCTATAGAGTGCATGTAATTGCCACTTACTCTTTTATCCGTTTTATTAACCTCAATTAAAATGTATCCTCTGTGGGCAGCTATAGTAGCAACTTGCTGTTTTATCCATTTTGGTAATCCATGCCTCTGATTTTGGGAATTTATTCAATTAACATATAATTTAACTCTTGATAAGGTCAAACTGAGGTCTACCACTTCCTGTCTTCTCTTTGCTCCCTTTATTTTTGTTTCTGTACTTCTCATTTTCGACCTTGTTTTTGGTAGTAAGGGGAATATTTGAAATTTTGTTTCATTTCAGTTTATCTTTTGGCTATAGTTCTTTGCATAGGTTTGTTAGTAGATGCTTTAGTTATTACATGATACATCTGTAACTGTTCACTAAATTCTTAAAATTTCTATTGTACTACTTAATATAAAATGCAGAAAATTCACATTTCTAATATCTATTTGTTCTCTCCCCTACCATCCTTTATACCGTAGCTATCTAAAGTATCCTATATACAATATAAACACCAGGAAACAGTTAAAAACTTTTTTTTGGCCTTCAGTACATATAACTGTTCAGGTAAGAGTTAAAAATAGTATTTTATATTTCTCAGATATTTTTTATTTCCAACGGCCTTCATTTGTTTCTGAAATTTAGGTTATCCTATACTATTTTATTTACTCTGAATAACTTTCTGACACATTCCTGTGATGTAGGGTCTGGTGGTGACAAATTCTCTTAGTTTTTCTTCATCTACAAAATCCTTATTTCACCTTGATTTTTGGAGCATATTCTTCCTGGATATAGAATTCTAAGATGACTTTGTTTTCTTCTCCTTTCAGAACTTCAAATGCTTTTTCACTGTCTTCTGGCTAGTATTGGCATCTGATGAGAAGTCCACAGTCATTTAAGTTATAAAGTATGTCATTTTTGTCTTTAATTTTCAGCAATTTTACTATGTACGTAGGTATAGTTTTCTTCAAATTTATTGTTATTGGTGCTCTGAGATTCTTGACTTTGTAAATTTATTTATTTGTACTGATTTAGGACGGTTTCATTGATTATTTCTTAATTTTTCTGAAGCATTCTTTCTCCCCTCTGAGATGCTATTTATACCCTAGAATCAAATAAATGAAGTGCATTTATTCTCTCCCCTACCATCCTGTGATTTGATGAGGTCACAAAGTCCCTTCTTAGGTTCCGTGGATGAACAAAACCGAGTTATAGTAATGAGGAATGAAAACACCTATACCATTCTTATGAATTTTGAGATGATTTACAGTTGACATGCGTCAGGTATGAGGAAGCTAAGTCTGTTTGGAGGTGCTTGTTTGGAGATAGATGTCCTCTGAAGGGAGACTCCCTCTATACTTCCCAGTCAAGACAGTAAAATGGCAGCATGTCTTATCAAGTGAGACAGAAGGCTAATATCTAAATTTGCAAAAGGTAAAAGACCAGGTAAAATGTTCACATATTGAACTGTCTGTAGCATATCATAAAATGTCCAAAAGAAATCATGTAGAAAATTACATGTGGTGGTCAGAAGCAAAACTTGGTGATTCTCATGACCGAACATGTCTGTTTATTTATCTTTTATTTTGCATTAATGTGTGATATAGTGTAAGTGATAAGTTATATATGAATAGTTTGTATGATGATTATCTTTTTGGAGTTGGCTTTCTTTCCTTCACATCCAACTGAACACAGAAATTACATACCAAGAATGATGACAAGAATAGAGGTAGAGTGAAGTGAATTGAAATAGAGTCCTAAGACTTTAATGAATGCCGAGGAGTGATCCACAGTTTTGACAGCACCTAGGAGATATATAGGTGGGTAACTTGACTTTTGGTGTGTGCTCTAAAAGAATTGTTATTTTTTTAAAGAAGAAGAAGAAGGAAAAATATTTTGAAGAAGTCAGTGGACAGTCAGAAGGACTTGTGATCTCTGAGCCCTGATATGTGGGGGTCATGGGCAGTAAAACAGCTTTCAGGTGAGCAGGGTCTTCTGAGGAAACCAGTTAAGAGAAGGAAGTCAAGCAAACACTCAGGGACAGGGCTGAGGATACAGAACTGTTGACCGTCGATCTGAGGGCTTATGGTCAGTGAGAGAGCCTAGGAGGGAAAGGAGGGGTTCAAGGGATTAATATAGTGGGAGTAACTGGAGTTCTCCCCAGCCACCCTCTTGTTGGCAGAGCCTCACCTGTTGAGCGTTCATCCTCTTCCTTGTGTTGCATAAAGGTTGCCTTCCTTCCAGCCCAGGAATCCCTCAAATCATCAAATCATTATAACTCTCTTCCCTCGGCAATGATTAGTGTGATAAGAGGCATATGCCCCTGTTATGCATAATGAAATGGAGGGAAAATTTAGCTGAGATCTTCTACGAAAAGTTCGCCTCTGTTAAAGAAAAACATAAAAGGAGGGAATCGCTGTTCTTGTTTGTACTTGTTTCTCCTGAACATGACAGTGTGAATGTTTAATGCCTGATTTGTGATACACAATTTGGGATCATAACAGAAATTCAGATGTGGAGTAAAGGACATTTTACCTTGCTGCTCTTTTTCATACTTCTGTAATTCATTTCAGTGAGTTCTTTAAAAGATGGGAGGCAGAAGTTCATGGTTAATTCTCTATCTTAATTTAAGGAAATGCATATATTTTTTTCCTAATTGTAACATTATTATCTGCTCACTGTGGAAAATAAAACAATAACAAATTATATTCGGGAGAAGTTAAATGTCTCCAGCCTCAATGTTTTTGTGTGTATATAAAATAAATTTTGTCTGTAAGCCCTTTAATACCTTTTTTAAAAATGCATATTATAAGATACTAAATATCTGTAGCCTCTAGTTTTCATTTAATGATATAGAAAGGAAAGCTTCACAGAAGAGAAGAGGCTTGAGGGGTCCTAATGGACGGCTAACAGCTTGCAGGTAGGAAAGGGAAAATGATAGAAGGAAAATGATAGAAAAAGCTAAAAAGCAGTTATTTGGGGAGAAAAATGAATATCCCAAATGACATAGGAAAGAAGTTTATAAGGAGAATGGTAGGAAATGAATACAGAAAGGTAGAAGGGTGGATAAGACGAAGAAAGGCCGTATACGCTGTGTTTGAGTGTGACCTTTATAATGGGTGTTAGGAGCCACAGAAGGATTTTAAGCAACTGAATAATGTGATCAGATGAATAATTTTAAAATAATCACTATTTCTCAAGGTCAGACCACTGTGACTTTCAGAATCTAGCTGCAGCATTTAATACTATGAAATTATGAATAAGTTAGCTACTATCTCAGTTCCCTCAGTTGCAAAATGGGGCAATGGAAGAAGGGTTGTGATAGTTAAATGAGATAGCCCAGTTGGAGGGAACCTGGTAAAGTGCCTGGCATATGGTAAGTTTTCAATAAATGTCAATTTTCCTTCACTGCTGATTTTTTTTTTTTGGTTGTCCTATGGTGGTCTAAAGAGCTAATTTACAAAAGTATTATTGCTCTACTGGTTGAGGGGACTTTAAAATATTATTTATCCTCATGTAAAGTGAATCTCAGTAAGAACTATGTAAGGTCACTTAAGTGCTACGACTCATTTACTCTCAGAACCAAGAGAACACTGCCTAAATTCAAATCAACAGGCTTGTAGAGTGTAACTGCTGGATAACAGGGAGGAACTAAGCAGAGGGGAATATAAAAACAAAAATGCATGGACTCTAACTTCAATGAGATAAACAACAATATGATAAAAGAAACAGTAGAAAGTATATGTTAAGTAGATTGCCCAACTGGTTTCTGGCAAAAACTATGATCTTTTTTTCCAAAATATCCTCACTTAGTGATGAGCAGCTAGAAGGAGCACCATTAGTATAGAGGAATGACATTTTTCTCAGGTGGCTTCTCATATCTGGGCCTCTGCTTATTGTATTTATCATGGAATGTGTTATTTTGAGGAGCCTAAAGTGAAAACTGAAACTATACACAGATAATTTAAAAATTGATAGACCCAGAAGTTGGTATGTCTAGCTGGTTTTTTGTATGTCTGATGTAGAAACGATAATACCCAATGGATGAGTAATGCATCTAGAATAGTTCTCAGGCATATTGTCTGAATATAGTCTTTAACTCCTACTTCTATTTTGTTTTCATTTTAGTTCTTTTACAAAGCTCCCTCATCTGGCAGGAACAGAACAAAATCTACTTCTTGCCAAGAAAATCCAAGCCCAGTGGAAAAAATTTGGACTGGATTCAGCCAAGCTGGTTCATTATGATGTTCTCCTGTCTTACCCTAATGAGACAAATGCCAACTATATATCAGTCATGGATAAACATGGAATTGAGGTGGTATAGAATTGCTGGTACCTTTGGTATTTTTAATCCCACCTTTAAAAAAATGTGAATTAGAATGTAAGGTCAGTAAAAAGATAACTTTGTTGATAGTACAGTGGAACCCATATTTTATAGAAAGTAAGTTACAAACTACTGAATTCCGTGTTTGCTATGTTTCAGGCATAGTTCTAGGTCCCCAAGCCATAATGAAGACTGGGATGTGGTTCTTTTGCTTAAGTAGGGTGAGCTAGACATCAGAACACATCATCTCAAATCAATATCACAAGTGCTCCAAAGAATATGATTAGGGTTGCTTATCTGTGTAGAGAAGGGTCCTCAGCCTGGGAGCTAGAGAAGGCTTTGTGAAAGGTTTGATATGTGAGTCTTGAAAGGTCCTAAGGGCTTAACCACATGAAAAGAAAGGTAAGAGAATTCTAGGCAGAAAAATATTGGCAAAGGTCTGGAGACATACACTAACTTAGTATTATGGGGGAACTTAAAGATTTTTCTGTACTATCAGAGTGTGAAATACAATGTGGCCCATGGTAAGAAGTAAACCAGTATGTATGTTTTGGGGACAGGTCATGGGAAGACATACATTGTCCTTAGGAGTTCAAGTGCTAAGCAGTAGGGTGATACTGCTAGAGAGGCATTTTGGGCCATCTATAGGTTAGACCTAGATTAGGCAAGGAGTTAAAGTTGGAGTCTTAAGACACTAGTCCAGGTAGAAGATGAGGAAGCCCTGCATTAGGATGTTAGCAGGAATGAGGAAAGAGGGATGGATTTAAGAAGTAGCTAGGAAGCCATATCATCAGGACTTGATTAGTGATGATGGACAGGAGGAGGGGGTGGACACAGAGTTCCAGTCCTAGGTGTCTGGTGTGCGTGGCTGGCTGGTGCTGCTGTTAATAGTGGCATGAATGCAAGACCAGAAGCAGCTCAGAGAACATAAATTCAAATACTGATGTGACATGTTGAGTTTGGACATCCAAGCTGAAAAAACTTCCAGGCCCTTAAAGATACAAGTCTGGAAAGCTGGACATCATAAGCATATTATATGGATACAATTTTGAGAGTCAATGAAATCTTACAGGAAAAGAGTGTAAAATGAGGCAAGCCGCAGACTGGGGCACATTGTTTAAATGCGGTTGAAAGAAAAGGGGCCCACAAAGAAAGCTGAAAAGGAATGACTGGAAAAAGGAGTTAAAGTCATGAAAATGCCACCTTCAAGGCCCTGTTTTTAATACTTCATATGGGAAATCTTTCTTACCTGAGATTGCATCCATTTACAGCAGTTTCCAGTATTTGAGGGCCATAATAATGATAAAGCTCTTTCTCAGTGTTAGTGGAATTTACCTATTTAATTATGGAAGTTGGTATCAGGATGCTTAATTTTAAATGTATATTTGGAGGCAGGATGCATTATTCTTCACTAACAATCTGGAATATTTCTCTCCAACTTTTGTGTTTCAATTCTTGCAAGGTTTTCAAAACATCATACTTTGAGGCACCACCAGAGGGATATGAGAATGTTACAAATATTGTACCCCCATATAATGCTTTCTCAGCCCAAGGCACGCCAGAGGTAAAAGATCTTTTCTGTTCAACTCTTTAAACCTTTCTTTGTTATATAAAACCTATGTAGAGGACGTAAGCCAAGGAAATTAGGTGGATTTTACATGCTGATCCATGCTTTGAAGTTCAGTGCGATGAACACCCTCCCTAGAAATGATTAAAAAAAAAAAAACCCAACAGAATAAGAAAAAAAAAAAGAAATACATATAAATCAGACCCTGGTAAACAGAGCCACATAAAAAGCAGATGCTACTCTGAAATAACCAGTTGCTAATCATGCGTTTAGTTCAGTAAGGGCAGTAGATGTTTTTATAACCTCTTCTCTTCTGTTCACTGTCTGACTTTGTTATAGATATATAGGTCTGATTTTATAGAGCAAACCGCAAAAGTTCTTAAGTTAATACCATGGTTGAAAATTAAACATAGTTGGGATTTTTTAAATGACTTTTATTCACTTCCTGTGGCTCAGTATATGCTGATAATTTCTTCAAAACAGAACACACTGTGTAAAATGTATTTTATATGCTGTCATTTTTTAAAACTTTTCAGCATTTTTAAGTATTTTCTCAAGACTTCTGTGGAATTAGCATGGATCTCTTTAGTAAGTCCAAATAGAGAAAGATAACTTTTGATGATGCAATAAGGTGGAACAAAGTCTTTGGTTTTCTTTTCAGTTATAGTATTATTTTATATATATATATATATATATG